AAAAATTTTTCTAGTTGCTGTTGGTGGTACCACTAGAAAAGGTACCTCAATGACCTCGCCCGAGGTTGGGGCACACTCCCCCGACATACACGCGCTCGCCGTTGGTCCGGTGGGGGGTTAGCGATGATATTAAAGCGTCCTTTAGTGTCCCCGCCCGAGGTTTGAGTACGTGTCCCAACTTACCCTCGTAAGTTTTTTTATTTTACAGGATATTTGCGATCTGATTTGTTCCCTGACATTCCCCGCCCGTCCTCTCCACTAAAATCATAAGCCCGAAAGACGGAGGACCGCGCTTGGCGCGCTCCCCAGGCTGCCCCACGAGGTACTCCTACCGTTGTAAGGTGTAACTGTGCCTACCTACGCATTCGCAGTCATATCGTCCAGGGCCGATTAAGAATATCAGATAGAAGCCACTGTGGAACTGCGTATTAGATGAGTTTGGATATACCTGCCTTCTAGTCGGCAACACTGTTTTCCCAGATCACGCCTTTGCAAATAAAAAAAACAGTTGACGTTATTAGTCCTTCTTTTATTAATTTTGGCGCCCGCTCTATTTTGTGACCTCAGGAACTTTTCTGAAATACTTCACAGTCATGAATATTTTCATTTTGCAGAGAATTTGAAGTCTGTTGCTGCAACACTCATACCCATAAATGATAAATGCCAGTGCCATTTCCTTTTTACTGTCCTCCTGTTTTTTGATAATTAAGAAGAGGAGCTGAGTTTCGACGCGTTCCTTCTGACTCGTAAGGCGTAACAGCAACCCTACTTAATTAATATTTTCTACTCAAAAACACATTCAGTCTACCGGCCCTACCTATAATCGAAAACACTTTTTAGATTTTCGGTTAACATTTCGTGAGATAACCATCAGTAGCCTGTGATACCGGACTGTAGACCACACAATCAAATCCAAATCAATACATCATCGGTTCGTTTTTGTTTTTTCCTCGTTGTCTTCGGCTGCAGTAGCTGTAAAGGCCAAGAAAAATGCTTACAATTCTTCCGGAGGGGGCACAGCTTTACAGTGATTATTAATCAATTGTCGGCTGCAGACCCTTCCTGACAATCACTCATCGGACACCAAGGTTCCAGTTTTCAATCATACCTAGAGCAACTTACCTTGGAAAACTTTACCCTTTACCACATCAAAAGATTGTCCACCCTGTTGACATCCCATGAGAGCCTTTTCAGTAACGTTGCTCGCTTCTTACCTCAGTGCCCGTTGTTTGAATAGAAAATTTAAAGCATTTACTCTCGAACGTCCGTAGATCACCCGAATGACTGAATGTTTATGGGTAGAACAGACGTCTACACCTGCTTATCATCCGTCAGAGCTGTGTACTAAGTCGAAATCCGATAGTACATTTTTTTGTCCAGTTGAAGCCAGGAGTTTCAAGAAACACCTCTCCCCCTTCTCCTCTATTTACTACTGATTGGCTTTTTAAACCTTTTGTTAACTCTACCCGCCCTTATATTATTGTATTTGCCTTAGGATGAATTAATCGAAAACGCTCGTTCGCCTAACTTTACTTCCCGAGTTTCTGTCGTCACGACAGTTTTATTTCCGACCCAGACTTCTTGCTACCTTGGAGAAAGCCGTCCTTGATCTTTATTATTCCTTTTCCTATAGCCTGGCTGCGCAATCCGTGCGGAATCTGTCGTAGCTGAGGAGTCGCACATAGCTGCCGCGCCACCCCCGAAAAACGAAAAGGACTGGGCAATTTCCGGAGAACGTCAACTTTCCCTACTGAAAGCAGACAATGAATATTTAAGCAAGCAGGTGCTACTAGAAGCCATTGGTTCTGCACAGGCTAATTGGCAATTTCTTTTTATTGGCGATAAAAACAAAATGAGAGTCAAGTAATCAGCATTATCGTCCTCTGAGGACGGAAAGATGAGCGAACAGTTTTTATTTGCTTCTTACTTTAACCTTCGCCGTGCGAAATATAGAAGAATATGGATAAAGCGAGCATCTACCGAGTTAAGTACCCTCTTTGAAAAGCAGGACATTGACCAGCTCATCAATTTGGGAAACGAATACCTTTTTTTAAATGTCGGACTTACTGGTGTCTGAAAATTCCTTAATAGTTTCATAACTGGGGCTTTTTAATCGCTTAAAACTAATCTCTTACCAAGAGTAGGTCAGTACATACAAAGGTCTATAGGTGCAAACTGAAACTTAATCTGAACATTTGGGCCTAAGTCCGTCGGCTACTGTGGGTTAACCGCTTAATACTCAAAAGCGCTAAGTAGTGTAAATTACGAAATTATTTACCATACTGGTAACACAGGTACTAGCTAAAACCCCAGACGCACGTATTCGCCGATATTCTGTTGCCGCATGGCATACGGGTTCTCTCGCGGTCCTTCTGCTTTCACTAATGAACTAAATGTGACCATGGTAAGATCAAGGCTAGGTAGGATCTAGTTCTTTTGCGCAAGTCTAATTTAACTCTGAACGTTAGCCGCCTCCAAGTAGCGCAGTGTCTTATCTCTTCGATCACGAAGGGGTGGTCAGGGAATCATTAAAATGTCTGCTCTCTGGTTAGAATCTCAGGTCCCGCAAACCTGGGATTGGATAGGGCTGACTGATGACGATCGCTAGGCCCGAAACGGCTATTCCGGCCGCCTCTATTTGGTTTTGATACTTCTTCGCACAGAAAAAATATCTTACGCACCGCATGAATAAAGCACCTAGACCTGTGCTCAAATTACCTAGCTGCTAACAGCTCCATCCGTGTCTCTGAGTGCTCAGAGTTATGTGTGATTTTGCTGGATAGTTCAAAGGAGACGCGCCACCACGCTGCCTCATTGTCATTGCAGACGGGGAAGTCGGGTTCGGTTGAGGGGCTTGACATTAACTTGTGCAGTGTTCTAGATAATTTCTTCTTACGGTAGACAGTCTCAAATATAATGCCATGCAATTCGCTTTGCTCCGGACCTGAGCTGTTGTCAGGAATTGCACAAAGGTCATTATGCAATCTGCTTCCTCTTTGTGTTGGTCACGCGAACTGAATCCTTGCGAGTTGTCTTACTTAGCGTCAAGGGATCTCCACTGTTTTTAATAATTAACCTCAAAGCAGTCATAGTTCTGACTATGCTCACGGTGAGTCCACCACCACCGCCCTTTCAGTAATAGGAGACTTTATTACCACAAATGATTGTCTTTCACCAATATATCCCCGATGGTAATACAGTGGAGTCCGGTTAATGTGGACAGTTGGCCAGGAACGGAATTTCTC